TTCAGGGTACAAGATGGTGAAAGAGGCCCTCGTTCATCAGTTGGACAACTTTGTTGACCGACCTTCTGTTCCTCTTTTTGATGTTATCTACAATGGCTTTGGTGAGTGGGTGAACATGCAAACACTCGTTGACCGCCTTAACTCTGTTTTCTGTAGAATAAAATCCATCCATCCATCCATTATCTTCCGCTTGTTCCAAAGTCGGGTCGCAGGGGCAGCAGCTTGAGCAGGGAGGTCAAGACATCTCTTTCCACAGCCACCTTAGTTCTTCTGGGGGGACCCCAAGGCATTCCCAGGCCAACATCTCTTGGTTGGCCTGGGGTTTCCCCGGGGTCTCCTCCTGGTTGGACATGCCAAAAGCACCTCCCTAGGGAGGTGCCCATGAAGCATCCTTACCAGATGCCCGAACCACCTCAATTGGATCCTCTCGATGTGGAGTAGCATCGGTTCTACTCTGAGTCTCTCCCGGATAACTGAACTCACCCTATCTCTAAGGGAGAGTCCAGCTACCCAGCAGAGAAAATTCATTTTAACTGCCTGTATCTACGATTTCATTCTTAGAGTTTGTGGCCATAGGTGAGGGTAAGAACATAGACCGACTGGTAAACAGAGAGCTTTGCCTTACAGCTCAGCATTTTCACCACAATGGACCAGAACAAAATCTGCAGTACTGCAGATGCTGCACCAATATGTCTGTCATTCTCACTCTCCATTCTTCCTTCACTTGTGAACAAACCCTGAGATACTGTACTTGAATTTCTCCACTTGCGGCAGAACCTCACCTTCGACCTGAAGAGAGCAATCCACCTTTTCCGGTTGAGGACCATGGCCTCAGATTTGGAGGTGCTGATTCTTGGCTCAGCCACTTCACAGTCAGCTGCAAACTGCTCCAGTGTGAGCTGGAGATCAACGCCAACAGGACCACATCATCTGCAAAGAGCAGAGATGGAATCCTGAGGCCACCGAACCGGACTCCCTCCACCCCCTGGCTGCACTGAGAAATTCTGTCCATAAAAGTTATGAACAGAATTGTGACAACAGGCAGCCCTGGCGGAGTCCAGCTCCCGCCCTGAAGGGGTCTGACTTACTACCGGCAATGTGAACAATCTCTTGCACCGATAGGGACCAAACAGCCCGTAACAACAGGCCCCCAATCCCATACTCACGGAGCACCCCCTGTACCTCAAGTAACATGGTCGAATGCCTTCTCCAAGTCCACAAATCACATGTAGACTGGATGAGCAAAGTCCTATGACCCCTCGAGGACCCTAGTGAGGGTAAAGAGCTGATCCAGTGAGCCACGGCCAGTACGGAACCTGCATTGTTCCTCCTGGATCTGAGGTACGACCAACAATCGGACTCACTTCTCCAGTACCACTGAATAGACCAGGGAGGCTAAGAAGATATGTATTTATTTAGCTCAACAGAGTCAGTGAAAAAAACAATACATGAAAAATTATATTTATATTATTTTTACATCCCGCTTTGTAATTCAGGGTGTGATTCATTTGCAATGTGGACAAGGGTCTCCTCTTTGCTGTGAGACTGCCAGGTGTCCGTGCTTGGGGAAGTGGGAGGGGCTTACGGCACGCTGGGTCGATGATTTTACCAGACCCGCCCCACATAAAAAAACCCCGCCCCCTAATTTGAATATAAGAACATGAAATAAAAAGCGCTTAAAATGAAAAACGGGAAATAAATAAAAAATAAATCTTGGGAAAAAAAACAAAACATTTCTATTTAAATGTTTTATTTCATGGGAACATTTAGTTATTTAATGGAATATGTATGAATAATTTTTAAATAACACTATTTATTTATTTATTTAATTTTGAAATGGCTCTCCATAATTTACAAGCGAGACCTGTATATCATGAAATAAATAAGCCATGAAAAACAGCATTATGAAGTAAATAAGCCATCAAGAAAAATACAATTGTGAAATAAAATAATAAAAATGAAAAGTTTTCTTATTTCACAATGCTTTATTATTATTATTTTAATTTTGAGCATCTCGGTGTTCCATATTCATACAGTAAATTTTTCAGTATCACAAATATCTGTCAGCCACAGTTAAGTGCCGTGTCCATTCCGCAGCATCATGGGAAATGAAGTTATTTTGCCTAAAACGATCATACCAATCTCAAGGTGCGGTTGTAGCTAAAATAATAATCCATTATCGCTTCGGAATTGCTAATACCTGTCTTATTTATTGTTTAAGTAAATATTTTTTCTAAAAATTTAGCATAAACCTTGAAGAATTACCTACAAAGTGAAAACGGCTTCTCTCGTCTCCCCCCTCTGAAACGGAAGAATAGTCGCTTCCGGTTAATGCCCGTCCTCTTCCACTGTCAGATACAGCTGCGGCAACACGCACTCTGACAATCACTGGGCCATAAAACGTCGAATAAAACTAAAAGTAAGTGTCGTAAAGTAGATTTTATGACTTGACATTCATTTGTTTTGTACTGTTGGTAAAACTCTGAGTTTTCCAACTTTTGGAGTTTCTTATCGCCACGTGGCGATAGTTGGTGATTCTGTCAGAAAACTTAGCTAACAGTTGAACAACATATTCCTTAAACGTTGAATGTTCTCGTTCTTGTCTGGATTGTTTCTTGTTCAATTATTTCTATTACTGGTAACATACTCAAATAAACCACCTTTTGCGATTATTGGGGGTGCATTTTATATCTCATTTAAAGAAGGGTTAAACTTTATTTTTCTGTTTTCTTCGTCGCTGCTGTGTTTTTCTCTTTACTGAAGGTGAGTATTGAGCTTAAAGTTGCCTTTAGCTGATGTTCTTGGCCGTATTATTTGCAGTTGTGTGTCTATTGTTGCACAAATACAAACTCTGTTTCATATAAAACTGTCTGCAGACCTGCAAATGGTCCCGTTTCCTGACGTTCTTTAGGTTAATTTAAAAGTTTTATCAAATTGTTTTCAAACTTCTATGTGAAATATTTAGGGTTGGCCTGGTTTAGCATGCTACTTTGAAACTTGTGAAGTATCTAAACTCAGTTTAATTGTTCAACACAAGAATAAACTGTTTTGTATTTTGCTTAAAATGTTGGTATTAAACTGACTTTCTATTTAGAAGAACACATGATCTCTAAATACTAATCACACATACTAAACATTAATAAACAGCTGCCAAAATCATCCCTAAAAAGTTGAATGTATGCCTGTTTTAGGGGTTTATCATTCTGTATTTTGTTTAGTCTTATTTTTCCTAATAAATTAGCATCTAAGATTGCATCTGCACTAACAGGGCTTCCTTTTCTAATTTTTATGCATAATGTGAATATTGATTGTATTTTCCCTCTATAAAGCATTGATGTTGTAGCATTTTCCTTATTAATGCCTGTAAGTTTAATTTGCACAGTAAATTACATTAATATTGACTTCCACAGTTTGTAGCGTGCATTATTCTCGAACACACCCAAACAAAGGTGAGCGCCTCACTTCCTGCTGCACAGGTGAATGTTGAGGAAGCGACATCTTGTCATACTTTACACATTAACAGTGTTTCCTTAAAAAAAAGTGTAAATAAAAGCAATGGTTATGTTCTGTTGATAACACCCACCAAAAGCTGCAAAATATTGTCCTAAAACTGTTTAATTAAAAATAATTTTCCAGAAAGGATAAAATAAGGGCTAATTTAAAAATCTGTTATTTCCTGCAAAAGATAAAACACATGCATCCAAAATGTATACTGAGGAAACACTGCAAATATACAGTATTTAACCCTAAAAGGGTTAAAAGTATTTAACGCTGATTAATTGCCATGTGTGGTATTATGTTACATTTTCCTTGCTTGTTCATTTGCTTTTTCAAAGTCCAGTGTCAGATTGATCCTTTTTTCAGGATTGTTCATAGCTGCCAAGTCTATTCCCGTAAAGTTCATTTCAAAATGTTCCCTTCTGTTAAAGATAAATACCTGGTAATATCAGCTTCTTGATCAGGCTGCAGTGGCGTTTCAAAGATTCTCAGTATGTTTCACTGTGACGCTAATTTCACCCTGAAATATAATTTCTAGCTTCTATCTTTTCTCTCCTTTACAACTTCAATACCCAAGTCAGTAGAGAAGACTCCCATTTAGTAAAGAAATGGATCAAAATCCTCATCAGAGAGAAGTCCCTCAGAATGCTATCCCAGTTGGGGCCTTCAGGCAGGGCAACATTCCCACTGTGGAGCGAGGAATCATCAGTGGGGACAACGTCCAGTTCGGAAGGCTGCGACATCGCTCGCATTTGTCCCACTCGGAGAGCTCTGGCTCTGAATATGAGCGGCTGGGCTCTTCTGTGGAAGCAGGTGGCTCCTATGGCCAAAGCCCTGTCCTCCAGGGCATGCAGGCAGAAGGTAACTACCAGCGGCGACTCCCTTCTGATGGCGATGGACCTCTGTCATCTTCTCCACGGAGCCCAAACGTAAGAGGAAGTTTGACCTTCCACTCCAGACGCGGCCAAGACCTACATCCAGATCAGAGGCCCCCCGTCACCACTGTGAAGGCTTCTGGTACCCCTCACCGTCAGTTAGGTAAAGTCCGAGATCGCACCTCCTCTGAAACAGAGCAGGGGAGCAAAGGCAGCAGAGGAGCACACCCGAGGAAGAGAGGCTTCTCTGAGACTGAAAGCAAGCCGAGATGGGACAAGTATGACATCGCCCACACAGAGAGCAACAGATGTGTGTTTGGCTTATTTAACAACTGTGATTATTTTTATGTCTGCAGTATTGTTTCGCTTTATAAGTTAATGTGTTGAAAAAGGTTCATCCTTTCGATTCAAGAAAGTACTATAACAAAAAGGGTGCTTTATTTTACAGTGTTCGCAGGCAGCAACCGGCCTTTTGTTTCCATAATCCAGACTTTGCAGACATGGCAACTTTGTGTGTTTGAGCAATGTGTGGCTTTCTGCTTGAGTAACTGTTAGCAAATGAATGGGGGGGGAACATTGAGTTAATTAGACGTTACCCATTTTAAATTATTCTGATCTTGTTGTTAGCCTGTTGGTTTTATAAATAGCAAAAGTTGTCTCGTTGACTTAATTTCTTCCCATTCCAGCAACAAGTGTGCCTGTGGCTGCATGACGCTGTAACCTTTCATGTGGCAAAGTCACAGCCAAGCAGCTAATAAAGCCATGTTTTGTTCCCGATATCCTGTCACTGACGGTGCTGCTTGTAACAACTAAACCCTTGTCGTGACCTGTTGAGCAGACAAGCTTTCAGAATAACATTTTTACATTGTCATACATACTGAAGCTTCTGCTTTCCTTCTCAGTACCAACATGAGTGGACTGCAGTGCCTTGCCACAGAAAACATCTGGTTCGACAAACACAGCTACGACGAGGCGGAGAAGTGTTTCTATGAGGGAGCTAATGGCCCCACCACTCAGCAACAAAAGGTAGAGCTTTAGCTTTAAATATCCTAAAATTATTGTGTAGTTTTTTGGATTTTCGTCTATTTTCTGTGACTTGCAGTGTTAGTGGCTGTACAGCTCTCCAGTCGGTGCCCTGTAGGTTTGGGCAGTGGTTATGTCACAGTCTGCCACAGTTCTCAGCAGCCTGGAGCAGCTGTCTGCATGTTAGCAAAGGCTCTCGATTTAGAAGTGGCTTCTTGTAGCGACAAGGGTCGGGTGATTCAGCAGCTGCCTTGACTTGTCACATCATCTGAGACTGCAGCAGAAGATCTGAGTTACTTACTACACAGACCTGGGAGGAAATGAGAGAGATGTAGTTTGCTCTGTCACAGCTCAAAGTTTCATTACTTTTAGTTTTTACAATTAATACAGGGGTAGACATAAAGAAATGTTCCAGGTCGTCCTGCGGTCCAAATCTGGTTGTCCGCAACCTTTACAATAACGAAGACAAACAATCTAAAGAAAATTTTAACAAGTATATTTCACTATGTAGTAGGCATGTTGCGAATTATTGACCTCATTTTCATTTATCGGCTTTATCGTTTCTTCGTGTGTCTCTTTCTACTCAAGACACAAAAGGCTCAACTCCAGTGCTCTTCAGTGACCCCTTCCTTTCTCTTTTCTCTTTAAAATCTGTTTTAACTGTCCGAAATCGCGTTTAGATCGTTAAAAGCAGCTAAGCTGAGAAGCTAAGCTATGAGCTAAGCTAACAGGCTGACCTTAGGGGGAAAACCTCTGTCTTGTCTAAGCTCCAAAATTCACAGTTGAAAGCCATGCCTTCGTGTAAAAAGTTGTTTTTCTCTGCAAAAAGAAGCTGAGAACTTGTTTACTGATTTTTTTTAAATTAAAAGCTTTGTGTGAAAAATGCTACGCTAAAGAGCTCAAACCACACCGAGCGTTCGCCATTTGAGAACCGAAGTGAGACAGCTCATGTCACGTCAAGGGGCCTCCCTCCCTTTTTTCTTAGAGACGCACTCCTCGCTCCCTCACTAGCCATCCTTTGGTTCAAACGGTGTTATACTGCCATCTGGTGGTCAAAAGAAAGTTACTACATGCAAAACAAATTAACCAACATTTCTTAAATTTGACAACAATTACTAATTATTGTCAAATTTCAAACAATATTATCATTTATTGCAATAATTTCTGAGACAATTTCCCAGCAAAATTTGTTATCGAGACAGGCCTACTATATAGGGCCTGCTGTAGCTTGGTCAGTGCAGTGGTCTTGTAATCCTGAGGTTGCGGGTTCGAGCCCAGGTTGCATCAGGAAGGGCATCTGGCGTAAAACTGTTGTCACATCTTTCACGAGAGTTCGCTCGCTGTGGCAACCCCTGAAGAAACGTGCAGCCAAAAGAAACTTACTATTGCACTATATACAACTATTCAGTCAACCATCTTGTGGACTTCTTGGACTTTCCAAGCTACTCACTCTCGCTGACTCTTTCAGGAGCTGCTCTAGAGAAACTTCTACGTCCTCCTCATCTCCTTCTTTGTCATCAGACTTTGCAAGAAAGGCACTTGCAGTGTATTTAAGGCCAAAATGAAAACATGCCGGTATTTGGACTGAATTTTTTTCTACGCTAGATGCAGCCTCTCTCACCATGAGAGACACTCAGGCTGTGCACGCTCAGGAGGAGGCGTGAGGGGGGGATGGGGGCCCTGGTATCAGTTCTGGTTAGGGGTGCACCGATTGCAGTTTTTTGGCCGATCACCAGTTTCTAAAAAGCCTGACCTGCCGATTCTGATTTTGACCAACACTGATTTTGTTTTCTAAGCGACACTGTCAGGTGTTATAATGCACCTTCAATTTTTCAATATTATTTTGTTGAAAAACATACCCTTGAACAATATTATCCTAGAAACAATACAAACTTGTTTTAATTGGCCTAGATGTAATGCTCTGAAATCTAAATGAAGTTCATACAATTGTTATTAAAACTAAAAAAATCAGTAAAATCTGTTTCCCATGCAAGTATCGTCCGATTTCCCAAAATTAAGGACATCGGTGCACCCCTAGTTCTGGTATCTCCCTCGGCTGCAATGAATTGGTCACGTGCCAACACGTTTAATTCATAGATGTTTAATAATGTATTACATGTCAGCACCTTCGGTTAGGTATAGTGAGGTGCCCTCCTTGGAAAGTAGTACAGGAAAAAACTGATTGGTGCTCTCTCACCTGCAGTCTCTCAGTTGGGAACACTGTGCACACTCGCTGTGTATTAGACAGCATGACCCACCCTGCGTTGCTCTCATTGGATAAAACTGCAGCTCTAGTTCTTTTTGTTGAAAGGAGCGTCAGTTTAGTCCCTGTATGATCCTTGGACTGGATGGCTTTAAAAAAGTCCTCAACAACTTTAATCCATGTCTGTTTCACTTGGTTGTCAACCTCGAGGCAAAATCTGGTTGTCGAGATGAGACTAACTTTTGAGGGGGTTGGGGGTGTACAGGTACAGCAGCCGACTTAGGACCAGAAAGTGGCCGCTCGACTCCCAGCCATTCCCACATGTCGTGGTGTCTCTGAGCAAAACGCCCAATCCTTAATTGCTCCCCGGGCGCTTGCATAGCTGCCCACTGCTCCACCTGGGTGGATCTCATGTGTAATGGGTCAAATGCAGAGAACTAATTTTGTTGTATTTGAACATACAATCATGACAACACATAGCACACGTTGTCTCGGAAAAACGGAAAAAATAGATGAACGCAAAATTGAGCAAAGCGTAGTGTGCACGTTGCTGAGAATTTAACAGCCTTTTTGCCTAAAGGTCTTATCAGTGACTATCAGGAGTCTCACAAATAACACCAGAACAGGAAACAAAGATATTTCTGATAAATAGTGGAGGATTTAAAAGCCCAAACTAGATTTTCAGCTGCTAAACACGCCAGTTTCTGTTGTCTTTTATTTGAGATTACATGTTATTTGTGGTCACATAAATTAAAATGATTCAAAGTTTATTCAAAATAACTTTTTAGAGCCTGATTTAATCAATTTTAAAGAGTCTGTTTATAGTTTAGATCAGCCTTTCTAATTGCAAAGCTGACTTTGTCTTTTTTTCATAACATACATCTAATAATTCATAGTAAAATTATCAATTGCCTTAATCCAGGATGGAAATCTGGTGTGATAAAACAAGTGTTGCAAAGCAGAATTTCTGCCTTTAACATTTCACTCCTGGTTTGATGTCGTGTATAAGGGTCATAATTTTTTTTCTTTGATAGTCTTGAATTTGTTTTAACGTGTACATGTAGAATATGCAGCTTCTGGTTTTTGTTTTCATCTTACCTTGTACATAACTGGGGGTCAGGTGAAAACCGCCCAGCAGCCAGCCAAAGGGCGCCAGCAGAAACGGCAGCATAAAAATGTAAGTTAGTCCATAATCGACTTTGCTCTTCAGGTTTGGGAATGTTGCATGACTGACATCCTGGCTGATGTCGAGTTTGTGTCTGTTGTTACATCAGTGTCTGTTTCTCTCCCCACATTAAAACAGACACGTGGGCAGATACGATCAGAATGATCAGTTTAGGTTGATACTCAATATTCTTATTGGTGTCATGGCTTAATGGTCACCTAATAAAATTAAACTAACCTACTGTATTTCTTAATATATTGTGTATATTTTGTGTGTATTGGTGTATGTGATCAAAGTACGACGTGTATTGTGCATGGGTGAAAAGGATTTGCTCTTTTAAAGTAAAAATATAATAAAGCACTGTGTGTGAAAAAGCATGCAGAGCATTTTGTAGAAACAATTTAGTTTTTTTTTGGGGGGGGGGGGGCAAAGACCTCACACACCATTTAAGAAAACATTCTCACTTTTGTTTTCTAAAATATAGTGCGAAAATGCCATTGGGACAGAACTTAGACCTGCGTGGCTTCATTTCTTTAAACGTTACAGGTGCTTGCGTCCTGTCTTCAGATGTAAAATGGAACTGATGTTGCTTTTCTCACCTTCTACATAACTTATTAGATTGTTTTATCCTCCCACAGTCATCCTCACACTCGGAGCAGGAGCTAGTGACCCGCATGAAGAGCCTGGAGCTGGAGAACCAGACTCTGCACAAAGGTTTGTATTTTGTCTTTAAACAGCATCTAAACTTTTGCACACTGGTGGGAACAGCAGAGCAAAGAGATGACTTGATGTGGCACTTATTGAGTGACTGAAACCCACCAACCAGTAAGGTGTTTCTCGGTCCCTTCATGCCAGAGGTGCAGCTCTTTGTCCAGTTAAAACAGTGTGACACTTTGTTGTGTTTGCATGTTAGTGGTGGAGGAGATGAGGTCAGCCCTGCAGAAGCTGGAGTCCAGAGTGGTGGTCCTGGAGAAGTCTCCATCACCAGCAGCTGTCCCATGTGCCAAGGTAAATCAAAGTAAATGGTTGTTCTCTGTACATGCAGCTGCAGAGACTTCAGAGTAGCACAATCTTCATCATTCTGCTTTACACCAACAACTTTCACTGGGTTGAATGTTTCTAAGTCGTTTGCTTTAACGGCTAGGCTGCACCAGTGCAGGCAGCTCCAGCCAAACAGGTGACGGTGGAAGACGATGACGACGACATAGACTTGTTTGGCAGTGATGAGGAAGATGAAGAGGCAGAACGCCTCAAGCAGGAGCGTCTGGAAGCTTACGCAGCCAAAAAAGCCAAGAAACCTGCTGTCATTGCAAAGTCATCCATCCTGTTGGATGTCAAACCTGTATGTATATTTCTGAACTCTACCTCATTGGTTTGGTTGGAATCGAAAGTTACTCGTTGCCTGGAAAGACTAGACAAAATCTGGTTGTATAGAAGTGCTACGTCTTCATGGAAGGCTGATATGTGCAGAAGAGAAGGTGTAAACACAGCCAGCGCTCTGATATAGATTTTTGGTCTTCCCTCCCTCCTGTGTTTCCTTAGTGGGATGATGAGACCGATATGGCGAAGCTGGAGGAGTGTGTGCGCTCGGTGCAGATGGATGGGCTCCTGTGGGGAGCTTCTAAGCTGGTTCCAGTCGGTTATGGCATCAAGAAGCTGCAGATCAACTGTGTGGTCGAGGATGATAAAGTTGGCACAGATATCCTGGAGGAAGAGATCACCAAGTTTGAGGACTATGTAGGTTACATACATTTTTTTTATGCATTTATATTCACATTGGATTTTTTTTTTCTTTCAGGCTCTCAGAATATTTTTTTATTTTATTTAAATTGCCTGCGTCAATTAAATTTTGCTGCCATTCCTGTACGAAAGACCTGAATAGAATTTCATGTGTTGGACAACGAATGGTAGTAATTAACAACAAAAAGGTGTCCAGATACTCAAAAACCAGGTGTCATGATCACATGCACTCTTTAGCCTGTTTACTGTAAATTTGTTTACCTGCAAACTATAGAAGAGCAGTGAATCATGGAACTATCACAAGGTTTAAATTTGTTCTTGGTCAGCTTGAATCAAATTCTGCTCAAAATTATTCTGGATTAGTTTAAAGTCAACTTTACTTGTTTTACACTGTGCCCTAATTAAAATGAGTAATGTAAAATAATGTAACAGGGTTGTAACCCGCAGTTAAACAATTTTATGCAAACTAATTTCTCATTGTGTAGTGCTAAAATATGCTCTAGATAATTCTAAGCTAGTGCTGTACCTCAGTCTTGTCGAAGCTCCAAAATTCACAGTTGAAAAACACGTGCCTTTTGTGTAAAAAGTTGTTTTTCTCTGCAAAACGAAGCTGAGAACTTAACTGATTTTTTTATTTTTTTTATTAAAAGCTTTGTGTGAAAAATGCTATGCTAAAGAGCTCAATCCACACCGAGCGTCCGCCATTTTAAGAACTGAAAAACAAGAAGTAGAGACAGCCCATATCACGTCAAGGGGCCTCCCTCCCATTTTTCTTGAGACGCGCTGCTCGCTCCCTCACTATCCATCCTTCAGTTCAGTCTTATACTGCCATCCAGTGGTCCAAAAAGGTACTAACCAACTAACATGAACAGATTTTTGTTGACCTTTGATGACCTCTGGAAACATTTAATATCTTTGAAATTATAGCGGCACAAACAAAAATTTTACTGCACACGCCAGCTTAAACGTAGAACAAATGTTTGGTTCCAATTTTGTCTGATTTGAATAAAGTGGGGGGGCTGGTTGACCTTTCATGACCTCTGGAAACATTTAATATCTTTAAAATTATAGCGGCACAAATGTTTGACCCCAATTTGTTAGATTTGGGGGGGGGGGGCAACTTCACTCAGGTCCACCCGCATCATAATTACTGACTTGTTTTCAGTTTTGTCAGGGAAAAAGAGCATGTTTAAACAAATCTTTATTAAGTTTACATGAAGTGAATAGTATTTCAGTTGAACACAAACGTTTGTCTTTCTTTCCTTTCTGCAGGTCCAGAGTGTCGACGTTGCTGCCTTCAACAAGATCTAAACTTGACTACCAAGTCTTGCTGCTACTCCTATGGTCAATAAAGAGCTGAGTTGTGAGCACAAGCTTATCGTAGTTTCATTACTTCTTTCAAAACGATATTTACAAGCCGACGTGTAAACTACTGCTGAAGCAGCACACATGGTTTCACAACTAAATGGAGCACAGCTTCAAGGTGGAGCCCAGCCCCACCCAAAACCCCGGGTACACCGGCTGGATGAATGTGATCCTCTCTTTGTGAAGCAGAGCCATTGTATTTGAAACATTGTAGAAAGATAAAGTTCCACCCCTGAAATCCAGATACACTCCTATTCTGCTGCTGCAGGGAACGGCGATGCTCGCGCCCTCCTTGTTGTGCTGAAACGAGCAGACTTTGTTAATGCAGTCCAGGCTCCAGGATTTGGCGTTGTGTCCCAGCTTGCAGTCGCTCCCTCCTCCGATCCTGTTCATGCTTTTGTAGCATACGCCAATCGAGACCCCTCCGCTTCCAGCCCACTCCACCTCCCAGTAGCACCGTCCAGCCATCCCAGCTCTGCACAGGACCTGGGCCCAGCTGGTGAAGCGGTCCGGGTGGTCGTGGTAGGGCTGCGGCTCGGAGCGAGTCGTCACCACTCTCCGCTCGTCAGAGAAGGTTAGGTAGGCGTTGGCGGTATTCGGGTCCAGAGTGACTTCATTGTAGTCTGAAGAGGATTCATGCATTATTACAGGTTTATACCAAAACAATGAAATGTAGCGACTGCACTCACAATGTAGAAAATCAGCTCGCGTCTTTGGTTCAGTGTTGTACGGGATGTCTGGGTCTTTAGCTGTTGGTTTTGGAAAAGAAAAAGTTACTACTTCCTTTTATCTCCAATTTAAGCTCAACTAGCTGAAAGGCCTCACCTACCTTTAGCCTTATCAGTGGTGTTCAGATTGCTGCTGTCTTTTAGTGAGCTTACTAAAAATACAAACAAATAATTTATAGTTGCTAAAATATCTACAGAAATCTGCTTTTACCATAGATGTACCTTTATCTGATATTCTGTAGAAATCTTTGCCAAGCGTGTCGTCCAGGCTCCCCTTTAGATCAACCAGACTGTCCCGCATGGTTTTATACATCAAATACGTCAGAGCGTCCGTGTTCAGCATCTCCACCGTCCTTAAAGGGAAGTGAAGAGACTGGCTCTTCTGCACAGCCAGATCGGATCATTACCAAAAATAAAATCTTTACGTTTAAGCATTTAACAAGTTAAATCCATTTATAGTTTTAGTCCATTTAACATGCATAGAAATTAAATTACACCATATCAACTTCATTATTTACCTACACCTTTTGCAGTAAGATCAGGAATTGTTTAAACTGAGTGAGAATATTAGAGTAAAATGATGTTTCATCTGGAGCAGAACTGCCATGTACAGGACAAATCTCTGCAGATGAGGTTCATCGAGCTGCTGATCATACCTCAAGATTCCTGTCACCTGCCTTTGTGGAGCGTATGTAAATATTTAGGATTATCCTAAAACTCAAACCAGAAATGACTCTTTCAGGCACAGTAAGCGTGGAGTTCTGCTATTTGTGTGCTAAATGGAATAAAAGGCATTTTTATTAATCTAATTCTAGATATTATCAGAGTATTTAGTAATGCATTACAAGATTGTTTTCTAGTTTTACAGGGAACCTGTGATTATAAGAACATTTTCTGTCCTAGAACTTTTAGGTTTCAGCTCAGACTCGGAGCCTTGTCAGTGGGTTTTTTTTTTAAAGTCAAGTCGGAGCGCATTTAAAACCGAAACGGTTATCAAAGTGCTTTATAACATCCAAGGGAGTAAAATAAATGAAAAAAAAACCCACTAATGATAATACTGAAGAATTAATAACACACATTTAAAACAGAAGAACACAGAATAAAAAACCTCAAGTCAGTTCACTGAAATGCCTGTGAGAACAATGTTTTAGCAGAGATTTGAACTCGGGGAGAAGATTTGCAGACGATCTATCTGCTCCCAGCTCTAACTTCTAATCATTTAAGACTTCAAATTTTATTTTTTGTTATTGCCTTTGTATTTATTGCAAATTCTCACCAGAAGTTGTTTTTTTTTTCTTCACAGCTTTATGAAGACTTGAACTAAATAAAAATAAATCACTTACCCAGTATAGTTCTATTAACACTTTGGGTAAAATATTGTGAATAATCTCTCTAGTTAAAAAAAATCAAATGTTTTAATTTACCAGGATTTTGTATTAGAAGCCAAAATAATGAAATTAAAAATGTCCAAATTAGCCTTTATTTATTTATTTTTCGTCTGCTCCCTTCAGGGGTCGCCACAGTGAACTAACTCGCACAAAGACTTGGAGGTTGTTTATACGTCGGACGCTCTTCCTGACACAACCACAGACACCGAGCTACCACAGCCTGTGTGGAGCAGAGAGCTGCTATCTAGGGCGCCCAGGGGAGCAGATGGTGGGGCTTAAGGGCCTTGCTCAAGGGCCCAGTGTGGGGCAAATGGGGGTGGAGACAGATGTGGATGCTTCACCTTTCCCACCCACAGTCTGATGTCGGTCCAGGGAATTGAACCGGCGCTATTCCAATCACAGGCCCACCTTCTCTAATCTTTGCACCACCACTCCTCAAATTTCAAATTAGCCTATAAAAACAATTGTTTTAAGTCTGCAAAAAAAAAACAAACATTAAGCTCAAGACTTCTGAGGGCAATTAAGACATTGGTGTGGTTAATCACAAACACCTCAGCTTCATTTTCACTGTAAACAGTTTTTTTTTATTTTGTTTGAAATATTAATACTTTGTCACAATCTGATGGTCTTCTGCTATGTTAGTTATTTTATGACAACAGAAGCAAGATTAGACAACTGGTACCAGTTTTTCCCCTAAAAGGTCTTATCAGCTTGACTTTGCCTCGTACCTGGAGGAAGTAGATGTCCTCTGTGTGGGAGAGCCTCTCCAGCTCGGCCTCGGTCCTCCTGAGCTCTTCTATCTCCTTCTGGATCACCTCCAGCACCTCCTCAGCCTGGCCGACCACCACTCTCTCCTGGACTCTGAGCTTCTCTTTCACCTCGCTGCTCTGCTTCTCGATAGATCGGATCAGCTTGGTGAAAACCCTCTCGCTCTCCTCCACCACAGCCTCCGTGGCATGCTGTGAAGGTCAAAGTTACCACTTCAGTGTCACAGCAGCATACTAAACCCTGCTTGGAGGAAATGCACTCGCCTTGATGTATTTGATGGAGTATCTCAGTTCCTTCTCGGTGTCTCTCAGTTTCTGCACGGACTTTAACGAGGTTTCCTTCAGTTTTTTCTACAGGAATGCAACAGATGAGTGAAACAGGGAAGGCTCTCCTGCTGCTCATATCAGTTTGCTTTGAGAGGAACATTTTGATTTCAGTCGAAATAAATTGCACTCTGTTCATCAGCAACACCTGAGCATAAAGTACACCTGCAGGACTCTCCCACCTTCTGTGTTCACTTTTTTAACTTCTGCAGCCCTCCCTTCACATCAAACAATACAAGTTTAGCAACGATTGTGCCTCTGCTTGAACTATAGAACCAAAACGATTAGAAATGAGTCACCGTATGGCTTTATTTACATGCGTCAGATTTCAGACGTGTACTGTGGAGTTTTATCATTACATCCACAGCAGTGACTTGTGTTTATTAAATAATGGCTCGGACTTCCTTTATTTAACTATAATCAAAAGGAAGGCTGCGAAAGCTTCCTGGAAACCTTTGCATTGCAGTTTGCATCAGTTTACCTTCATGAAAACACAGCTCGAGACATTTCACACAGTCAGTGACTCGGCCTCTAGAACTCCAGATTTATCAGGTTTTAAGGTCATTAATAGTCACCTGTACATATAATATACACAGACTTGTAGCTACTTTCAAACACTTATTTGACAAGATGAATTCAAACTTAAAACATCGTGGAAATGCATTTTCAAAATAGGACTTTATAGATTTATGTTCAAAAGCTTAAAAGGTATAATCCAACACCAACAAGCTACGAATAAATGTGTTCCAATTTATATCTTGTAGCTCATCTTGTGTTTATATTTTATATAAAGTATTGACACTTGTCAAGTTTATGCCGAGGATTTAAAAACATTAACATTTGTATGAAGAGATGAGCACAACATGCACAGAAAGCAAGGTGAACCGATGTCAGGAAATCTGAAATCACTGCAGGAAGTTACTCCTTGGTGATGCTCGAGATATTTTGGCTTCTTACATTTTAAACTGTTTTTAATATATATAAATAAAAAAGGGACTAAAAATTGTATTATGAGGATGTTGGTTTATAATTTGTAATGACACTCAGACTCAGTGGCCACTGTTATAAAGGACAATCTTGATCTTAAATAAAAGATCACATCTGTAAATAAACGTTACTGTACCGGAGACCGTAAAAACTGCGGAGTGGCCCTTTAATTTCAAATATGTCCTTTCAGGAACACACTATTTTTTTTTTTTGCATAAACGCTGATGTTAAAATGGTGTCCGCTCATTTTATGGCACAAATAAACTTTAGATGGAGTGATGTTCATTAAGGTTGAACTTTGAGGAAGGAGGTTTGAGCTCACCTGCTGAGTGGCCCGCTCGTCCACCACAGACACCGTGTCGTGGCCCCTGTGCCGCTCTGTGACACACACTGAACACACGCTGTGCTGGTCGGTGCGACAGTACAGCCGCAGCAGCTTGTTGTGCTGCTGGCACAGCTTCTCTCTCAGCTTATCCGAGGCCGGGATCAGCTTGTGGGCTTTTTTGTGAAAGCGCACTTCGTGGACTTCCAGGTGGGTCACGCAGTAAGACTCCAAGCACACGAGGCAGGATTTAACAGCTTTCCTCTTTCTCCCCTTGCAAGCGCTGCATTTCACTTCCTCTGCTTTGGCGGCTTGAGCTCCACTTTTCAAAAACTTTTCCACCACTTCTGCCAGAACCGTGTTCCTGCTCAGCAGCGGCCTCGGATTGAACACCTGCCTGCACTGAGGGCAGCTGTAATGGTCCTTCTGCTTCGCCGTGTTCCAGTAGTCTTCAATGCAGTCCAGACAGTAGCTGTGCCCACAGGGGATGGTAACGGGGTCCCGTAACACCTCCAGGCACACCGAACAACAGAACTGGTCCTGGTCAATAGAAATAGTTGCAGCTGCCATTGCATGAACGCTGAACTGGAACAGGAACAGAACAGAAATGGGTGTAGCTCACAGGTGTGCTAACAACAGCTGCTCAGGTTTCACCTGTTCCGGCCTGAAGCCTCCAATCACAGCCGGCAAACCTACAAGAGACCCACCTCTCCTAAACACACACACACACCAGGTAAGTTCACCACAGGTGCACTGACCTTGAAATGTAATTCTACACTTGATGTTTTACTGGCAAACATGGCGTCGTGTTTGTGTGGGAAGTCTGCTTTGGACGTCTGTATTTAAATAGGGAAATGTGAACCAATTATACAAACACAACCTGGCAACGTTTGCTTCTTTTTTTTTTTTAATGGAGAATCACAAATTATGATGTTTCTCTCACAAAAAACAGACAATTTACAAAGTTTTTGTTGTTAAAAATGAGGAATAATTATAAAAGCATGCAATTTAAAACAATACAAAGTGATCTTTGTGGTACTGAAATAAATTGTAGTGTCAATACTGACTGTTGGAGTTTAATAATAACTTAATCACATAGTGAGGTGCTCTCTTTTATTTTTCCACTACATTTGTATACTAAAATGACAATTTATAATGCCAAATAAATAAGTGAATATTTCAGATTGCTTCATTCGTGCCAGGCTGTTTGATGCTATTCAGCCTGTGTGGGTGCATCATGTGAAATGTTCAGTTTCATATCCAGTCTTTATTTCCTCCTGGAGAAAGTGCGGCGCTGAAGGTGTCTCTGTCTGGATCCTGAGGAGAGCTTGGAGCCTGAGTGAACATAGAAGAGGAACGTTCAGCACCCTGACGATACAGAAACAGGACAAAAAATAAAATAAAAAGACTGGGAACGATGCAGTGATGCAATACTGAAAAACACCTGCTTGTTGTCCAGATTGGAATTTTCTTTTAATTTATATTTATTTTGCCAATTTAACTTGGATTTAACCCAGAAGATAAACACTGCATGAGTTAAGTGATGGTTCAATTTACCAAATGGTGAAAAGGCAAACGTGGGTGCAGCTGGTCCTGGAGTAAGGAACGGGTTCAGAGGATTAATAGGAGCTTGATCGAGATCGAGAAGAGGAATCACTGCAACAGCAAAGATAAAAAAATAAAGAAATCAGAATTACAGGAGAGTCACATTCATTCATTTATACAAGTTAGTCTCATTGAGTCACAAGAACTCATTTAAAGTCACAATATGCTGCATTCATACAGATTCAGCAAACAACTCTGTAAACAAACACAACTCTGTAAACAAACACAACTCTGTAAACAAACATGCTACATTTGGCAGCTGTGGCTGAGTGCTTAGAGCAGTCGTCCTCCAATGCAAGAGTTGCGGGTTCAATTCCACCAACAGTCACATGCTGAAGTGACCCTGGGCAAGACAGTGAGCCCCTCATTACCTCTGATGTGTCCCATCAGTGTATGAATGTGATAAAGCTCTGATTATTCTTTGTATAGATCCAGTAGTGCTGTGTGAATGGGTAAACGAGGCACAGATTGTGTTGTAAAGAGCTTTGAGTATCTTGATAAGATAGAAAGGTGCTGTATAAGTACAGTCCATTTACCATTTACCATGATAAAATGGTGTAAAAATACTAAACAGGAACATGGCTGCGTTGCTTTTTGCATTGAACGTAACAGTTGTTTAAAATCCCTCAGCGAGGTCGAGCGCTTCAGACCCACAAAGGGACACGGCTGTTACATAACACACAAACATATGAACCAAACAGGTTTGAACATATGTACACATCATATTGGTATGTTTTTGTACAACAGGTGTGTTGTGACCAGAGAAAAACAAATCTCAAAAAAGAAAAACATTACTTCACATCGGTGAATGCCCTAAATTTCTAACCAAGTTTATTAATTATTTGATATTTTACATTTATGCTGTCGGTGACAAAACTTTATGTAAGTTTAATAACCATAAAACACACAAGTCAACAAACTAAATGTTTTATAATTAACATTAGGCAGAGCTTTGCTCCCTTTATTCATAACCATGTTACATTATTAATATATTTCCCTAATATTTCACAAAAATCATGTTTTTTTATGTAGATGAAAGAATCAGAAGTGACCTAGAATCTTACAATCACTGCATCCCATTTGAATAGTAAAAATGATGAGACAGACATCACCCAGATTATTCTCGAAAGACCCAAACACAACGTACAATCTGAGGAAAAGCAGTTTAACATCATTTTCTCTGCCACAACAAAACCAGTGGATAAAAAGTAAATATGGATTAGTATGTGAAAGGACAGCTGTGCACAGTATTTGCCTTTTTCTTTGTATTTTATTACTAGATTTTAAGTACTGAAACATTTTCTTCTCAAGCGCTTTGCACAAAACATTCCCACGTTGTACTGTTTGTTTGTTCACAAATGGACAATAAAGTTTCTTGAATCTTGTTTAAATGTATTTTTATCCAGATTGAGGAATCTACGCCACTTGAACAATGAAGGCTTAATTTAATAGGAGTTTCTAAAAACTTTTAAAACTTTAAAAGGATTTCTGAAATTCTTTAAACTTTTTACTAAAATTTTGTAATTTCTCAACCAAAAACACAAAGTATGACCATCTTAGACCATCTTAACACCAACCAAACTGGTTTGTTCCACTTTGGAGGAAGCTGTTGGGGGAAGAATCAGTTCTGTTGTGCGTTTCCTTGACTGATGAAGCCTTCTGGATGGAAGGCGAAACGTTTCAGCACAAAAAAAGAAACTGTCCAGATGACCTGACTGAAAAATGTTGGAAAGCACAAAGTACTTGAATCTGTAAAGTCTGGACTTTTTTTGCACTTAAAACACTGGATGGCTTGAAAGTTGTGCAACAGGCTTAAAACATAAAGACGTTTATGGATTGAGTCTAAATGTGATAAAAACCCGCTAAAAGACAAACAGAAATAAAAGACACGCGTGAACAGACTTACTGGTTGGTGACTCCATTTGTGCAGCTGACCCAGTCTCACCAGGGAAGGCAGCCTCACACTGAACCGCAGGATTCTGAGGACCTACAATCTTTACATCTTTGACTGCAATAAAAGAGAAAGGTTAGTAAGGGAGAAAGGAAGAAGTCGCTTGAAATGTCCCTTAAAGTGCATCTACCTTTCTCATAGATGCTGACAAATCCTCCCTGACACACCTCCTGTAGCAGTCCCTTAACATCCGACACAGCTGTCAACACCGGGCCGAAGGAGAGACCCGGGTTTGCAATGAGAGCAGATGAAGCTGACAGCTCAGGTGGAGCCTGAAGGGACTGACAGCTCTGAACAGAAACAAAAAGGATAAGACGTCCGACTGTGTGCAGCTGAGTCACCCTCCTGAGAAATAAGTTTGAGGGATGTTACCTGAAGGAAATGGACAGGGTCCTCGATGTGGGACAGCTGGTCGAGTTCGGCCTCGCTCGTCTTCAGCTCTGCGATTTCCTTCTGGATCTTCTCCAGCAGCTGCTCGGCCTCGCCGACGGCCGCCTTTTCCTGGGCTTTGATTAGTTCCCTCACTTCGAAGCGCTTCAGCTCCATGGAGCGAATGAGTTCGGTGAACACAGCGTCGCTCTCCTCAGCTGCAGCCCGAGCCGAACGCTAGGGGAAGACACAAAGCAGCAAACAGCTGCTTTTAGGGTATTCTCTAGTGTGCCAGCTGTTGCGTACATGAAGAGGGAGCTGAAGTCCCGTCATGTGAGTATGAGCACTTACAGTCAGAGAGAAAACTGCTTGTCTCAGCTCCTGTGCCTCTTTTTCTTTTTGCTGAATCTTCTCTTGGGAACTCTGTTTCATGTCACTGAGCTGCCTCTGAAACAAAATGTTGGATTATTCAAATTAGAAGTAAAATTTACTAAATGAATACATCGCAGAAACACGGACCACGGTGTGTTGTCTATTAAAATCAATGAACCAGAACTCCAACCCCCATAAAAAAGCACAGGTTATTAGACTTGGCTGTAAATCAGGTCAGATTTGTTTGTTAAAATAAGTATAAAGTACTCTAGTCTGGATTAAAAAGGTTGAACTTTTACCCACAACAACTAAGAGGTTTAAAAGGTCGTTTTCTCAATTTTAACTTAATTTTACTTCACAATAAAAAGCACAGATTAAATTTCCCCCTTCACTTTCAACCTCATTAGCTCAGTGCCAGGACAAATCCTATTTTGTTATTATTATTGTTGAAGTATTGTGAGGAGTCCTGACTGTGTTTTTTTTAATATATTTTCATTTACTCTTTAATTCTATACAGAGAATGTAAGCAAACAGGCATTAATAAAGTATGTTAATACTGAATTACAAACTAAATATATTAAAAGATAGATTAAAACGTAACAAACACCGATGAATCCCGGTTGTTCATATTTAACACTACATAAAGGCAGCAATAGATTTGCTGTGATTTGGCTTTTATTAATTAAACATGTTGTTCTTCAAGGTTCATGCTCAATAATCCCGGTAAAAAAAAATCCAACAATGTTCAGTCAGGTCATCTAGACAGTTTCTTATTTGTTGGGAGATGTTTCGCCTTCATCCGAAGAGCTTCATCAGTCTGAGGAGTCACAAACTGTTTTCCCCACCAAGCAGCACACTCCTTTAGTGGACCAACCAGTTTGCTGGTGATAAGATGGTTTCTGGGGGCTGTCCTCTCCCTCGTCGACTCCTCCCAGGCGGACACAGCCAAAATGGTTCAAGACATCAAAGTTCATGCTCAATAATCCAAGTAAAAAAAATCTAACGACTGATGAAGCCCTTCGGATGAAGGTCGAAACGTCTCTAAAAAATAAAACGAAACAGTCCAGATGGCCTGATTGAACATTGTTGGAGACGCATGTTCTTTCTTCCTTCTTCTTTTGGCTGCTCCCTTCCTCAGGGGTCGTCAACTAACTCGCACGAACATTTGGCAATTGTTTTTATGCCGGATGTCCTGACACAACCACAGACCACTGAGCTACCCCTCGTGCGCAGAAAGCTGCCATCTAGAGCACCCAGGGGAGCAAGGGTTACGAGCCTTGAGTGGGACAAATGAGGGTAGAGGCAGATGTGGAAGCTTTCCCACCCACATTTTGATGTTGTCAGTCCAGGGAGTTGAACCGACGACCTTCTGATCACAGGCCCACCTTCTCTAACATGTGTCCCCACTCCCCCACCCGTTGTTTTCTGCTTCTAACACATCAAATTAAAGAGCTGACTGTTCTCTTGCTGCTTATTGTTGTATAATGATCCACCTTTAAAAAGCTCATTGACTGTAACAGAGCAACTATGTTGGGAATGTGATGCACCTAAACATGAATGTTTGATGCTGTCATTACACCACCTGGGTGTGTTGTATCTGTGTCTTCACCAGCACCGTGTCGTGTCCTTTGTGCTCGTCTGTCAGACACAGGCAGCAGATGCAGCACCTGTCGTGGCGGCAGTACACCTCCAGCAGCTTGTCGTGTCGGGGACAGATCGTCTCCTGCAGCCGCTTGTTCGCCGACACCAGACTGTGCTTCTTAAAAGCAGCGGACTCGTAGTGAGGCTGGACGTGCACGTCGCAGTAGGAGGCCAAACAAACCAAGCAGGACTTGATGGCTTTGTTCTTTCTGCCGACGCAGACGTCGCACTCCACGTCGTCCGCTTCGGCTAAACTTGGAGTCTGCTCCGCCGACAATAGGACATCGTCTGCTTGGAGTCCCGTTTCCTTGAACTTCTCCACCACATCTGCCAGCATGGTGTTCCTGGCGAGCGCTGGCCTCGGGGTGAAGCTCTGTCGGCACTGCGGGCAGACGAAGACCCCGAAGAAGTCGTCTTGGTCCCAGTAGTTCTGGATACAGTCCGAGCAGTAGCTGTGTCCGCACGGGATGGTCACCGGGCGCTTTAACACGTCCAGACATATGGAGCAGTTGAACTGGTCCCTGTCCAGTACAACTCCGCCTTGAGCCATCTTTAAAAACAAAGCAGAGAAGGTAAAAACTACGGAAAACTCGAGAAGTCCGTTCAAAACACAGCTGCTGCTGCTTCGTAAACAGGAAGTGAAAACTGATGGAGGCGGAGTTAGAGCAACGACACCGGAAACAAAAGTGTAAGAACTAATGCGCATGCGTAAAATAAGACCACGCCCTAAATATAATCATGTCTACGTCCGTTATTCATGTTGCTACTTTTAATCCTTATGCTTTTTGTCAACTTTTGTGTGCAAAACTATTTATAAAATTCGTTATATTTGTTTTATACGTTGTGATGCGAAACGTTGTCAACAATGTTGTTGGATGTCGGAATGAGTGCAGAGCACAGCTGAAGCATGGACATGAACACTGTTTTGATTAACGGAATTTCAACGAACCGGAAGTAGGCATAAATATATTCTAGACCAGTGTTTTTCAAAGTGGGAGCCGCCAGGGGGTGCTAGGCAGGACTCAGAAAGCTGGAGAGAAGAAGATTAAAAAAAATAATAAAAAAAATAATATAATAATAAAAATTGCACACTAGGGCAATCTGTATCTGTCATTTCCAGATAAACACACTTGAGAGAGAGGTTAGATTTATTTTGTTTTGTTCTTCTGGTCAACAGTTTGTTGAAAAGTTATTGTTTTTTTCAGTGGGAATACAGTGTTTAAAACATTTTAGTTTTGTTTATGCTCAGCAGCTGTAATAATTAATTGAATATAGTGACTAAGAGTTAAAAGATTCTATATGTTGATGTTTCTTTACATATTTTGTAGCTGTTTGTGGATTTGCGAGGGCCTCGGCCAGAAGCTAATGCTGTTTGGGGGCCATGGCATTGGAAAAGTGTGGGAACCCATGTTAAGCACAAAATACTGACAGTGATCATTGACAATTATTGACATCTTGAATCTCTAAAACTGTCATTAAAGGTCTAAGAAGCCTCACTTCTTGAATGACACCTGTTTTGATCAACTGGGTCAGTTATCCACGAGTGCCACTGTGAAACACTCTCCTCACGATGTGGATTCTGTGGAAGAGGATCTCTCGAACGAGTTGTCCTTAATAAGTTGGAAAGTGTGCGTTCTGACATAAATATTCATGCTAATTGTGTAATGAAATAAGTCCCCGTTTTTCTGCTTTACCTGTGTGCATGTGAGATGGAGGTCCCACTAAAAGTAAAACCCATTCACGTGCTCTTTTTTTCTTTGTTTACCTGTGCAAGGTTTCATTTTCTGTGTAGAGTTGATATGTGAGGCAAAAACTAAATAGACCCTGTACTTAGTAAATGTAAGCAGGCCCCCTTTTTTACATTTTAGGTCAACATTTGAGTCAAGACACAGAGTGGAAACCTGCCGCATAACAAAGTAGAGAAGATGAGTCAAGCAGTGGTTCTGGAGATGAAGAGGTCGACACCCATCAGGAGACAACCCAGAGCCAAGAGGCCGAGGCGACGCAGCAGCAGAAGAGGCAGAGCTCAGACATCAGGTGGTGTGTTGATGATGAGCTTAACATCACACCACCCTTTTTTGTGTGTGTTGGAAAGAATGAGGGCACCAGTTGTGACTCTGTTATAACTCAGTTATGAAACTACAAATTATTTGTGGGTACTTTTTAAACCAGACCAGCTCTATTCAGGGATCTCCTTAAACAGAGGATCTGGTCTTGTGGGACCATAAGGACAAACATAGCAGGGTTCCCCAAGACAAGCTTGAACGTGTTGGACTCAAAATCTCCCCGCGGGAGCACTCATTGGCTTCACAAAGACTTTCTACTTTATGTGCTGTGGTGAAATACTAGAGATGTCTTCCTCTGTTCCATCATGTCAAGTCAGCAGGAGAACAAGGGACGACAGTGGAAACTGGACCAGCAAGGATGTTCCGGTTCCTCCTGCTATAAAAGATTACAGTCGGTATGCATAATGCAGCAGATAGATTCGACTGGGTTTTATGTCCTTGAAATTTTATGTGTCTTATCTTTCTGTCCGTTTTCATTATTCAGGTCCGTGAGGGGAGTGGATGTTTCGGATGCTCTGATTGGATATCACCAGATACTCCATACGCGTAATTGGTAGAAAACATTATTTTACCACTTTGTTGACATTGCAGTTGTGAATGCCTTCCTTCTGCACAAAGATCTGTGCAAAGCAAAAGGACAAGCATTGACGATGCAGAAGGCATTCAGGGCAGAGCAGCTGACAGTTACTCATAGAGAAGCACCCCTGCTCCATCACTGGAGCCATGTGGGCTGAGCAAGGGACAGCACTGGCTGGTTTACAGCTATAAATGAACTGACGGCCGACTGAAATTCCAGATGTGCGATGCTAAAAGTCAAGTCAAGTTTAAAACAGCAGTAAAGTGCTTTATTGTAACAAGCCCTTGTGTTTTGTGCCAACAAGACACTGTTACAATAAATGGCACACTGAAAATACGTGAATGTGGACAGTCACACAACTGAAGAGTGAAGTAAAGAGTGATTGTAAAAATGTAAATAGTTTGATGTGCGTCACTGTTTTTATATTTCAACAGTACATAAAGTTTGAAATTTTTTTTTTTACACTACAACTTCTCTATTTCAACCATGACAGTGTATCTGGATATAAGGCAGGATTTCCCTGAGTGTCACCTTTTGATTAAAGACCTCACTGACTGATGTCAGTGCCTTGTTCATTTGGCACATTTTGGATACATTTGGATAAACTGTAAAGAATGCATAAACATACACACATAAAAACAGGTCCAGAATAGTCAGTTTTTATGCTATTGACATTAATCTGAAACATGATTTTATTTATTTTTTAATACTTGGGAACGTTAGATTTGTGCCAGGGGACATGCTCAGGTAAAATCGGTCCGGTGACTAATTTAGTTTAAAAAAAAAAGCTTGTCTTATTGGTAAACATGTAAGTAGGCTTGGCCTGTGACACTGTAATTTTTAAGATAATTTATTTATGCTCCTTAGCCTTATTTGGTGTTTTAAGAAATCAGGGTTTGATCAAACTAACCTTTGTGTATTCTGGATTATTGGATGTGAACTAGCCCCAATAGAATATCTGAACAGTTAACACATAATAGAAACCACAGTAAACTCAGTACTTAAAAAAATAAAAAATAAAACACAAATTATAGAGCACTTTTTTATTTTAAATGCAATAAAATATTTAACAAACACAATAAATGCTTAATAGACCAGTTTCAATAAATTATATAATAAGATGAAAGTAAAAATACAATCCATAACTTTAAACTTCAGCATACCTTGGAGGATTTGTTTTAGTGAGAACATTGCCAACAAATATACAGATAGAACAGAGACGAGACACACGTTTTAAAAGTCTAATATATCCCTAGCAAAGAACAATACGTTATTTTGGTCACAGCAAAAAGCTCAGATGCACGGATGAGCAGGTTATACATTTCATTTTAAATTATTTTCTCAACAAGACCATTCAAGTTTTACTGTGCGTTGCAGGTTTTGAAAAGTTGCCAGCAACCTCACAACCTTTGCTTATTACACCTGCTGATCAAACTAAAACATTCTCTCAGTAGTCACATGCAGATCCAATTAAGCTGTCCATTTAAATGACTTTTTTAATCTATAAAAGAAATATAAAGTGCAGGATAATCTTCAGAATGGAGTATTCCCTCTCACAATTTTAACAGGAATTATCCTGTTTAAATTACAGTGCGATAAAACATCTGCCAGTACATGCTCGTTATATCCATTCAAGTATTTCATTACAGTATAATGTTTTCTGTTTTTGATAAAAGTAATTTCTCTCTTGCTCAACTACAAGACAAGCTTGAAAAATGTTCTGATTGTTTTAAAACATGCACTATCAGTGAAAGAATAACTTTTGCACCACATGCTAAATTGAAAGTAGATGGTTTTCCAAAATGACAAAGATGTTTAAAATCCTTCTTTCTTACAGTCACCTCAGTAGATTGCAAGGGTAAAGCTATGTACTGGCTTCAATGGTTTTTCCAAGCAACGACTTTGACTTTAATATAGTTCAAGTATTCATATGTAGCTGTCATAAATTCAGTATTTCCCTTCATACAAAAATACACAGTATGATTATTTAACCCAAATTTGGGATACTGGAAGTAAGCTAAAACTCACCGGTATGCAGAATGATTATGTTTGTGCAATGCTATGATATGTGTTTGCACACATACAAGGTGTCTTGGTGTGTCTTCATTTGTTCTTATGATCCAGTCCACTTTCTGCTCTCAGTGCCTGGCTGCTGGCCGAAATGAAGCTGATCCAGTGTTTGAGCTCCTCTGAAAACTCTGGGCACTCGATCTGCAAATGGACGTATCATTGACCACATTACTAGTAAAAACAAATATTAATCTTAAACACAGTGAGAGCAAAATCTTACCTTCTTTTTGCAGATGAATTCAATAATCGTCTCTGGGCTGCTGCCCACCACGTTCTGCCTACAGAGCATGACCGCAGAGACAAAATTATCTTTCTTCGACACGAAGCGCTGCTCCAAGTAAAAAGCCTTCTCATCCCACCCTAGCACCTTGGTGCGAATCTCAAAAAGCTCTCTGAAGACCAAAGAGCGGCGGTAACGAATGGTTGAGGCACCTACGACCAGTTTGGCTCCTAGTTTGCGTGAGGTCATGAACAGCCCATTTCTCATGTAGTGGTGGAAGCGAGCAAAGTCACACTCTCGCAGATATCGAGAGTTGTTCATGTGCCCTAAGTAGTCTAAATCGTGCGTGAGGACTATGCCGTCAAAGCTTTGTTCGGCGAGTATGTCCTCTAATCTGGTCTGGAACCATGTCTCGATGAATACTTGGGCCCCCCGCAGGAAGTACCACACATCCAGGTTGCAGAAGAGCAGGAGGAGGCCAAACAGCACCAGCAGCAACATCTCTCTGGAACAACAATACAAATGTTAGAATCAGGAGAAAAGGTAATGCATTAATTGTCTGTAATAAATACGTTATAACACCATCACTTTCTGGCTTCTGCTGCTGTGCAGTGTAAGATTATCCAAGATAAATGGTTTATTTAAAGTATTTTCTATAATCATGACTACTGATTACTACAGATGTACATAAAAATAGCATGCCAGTTCCACTAACTGAAAGCACTGAGGCAGCAGATTCAAACAGTAAGGCAAGCAACCTTGACAGGACTGAAGAGCTAACGCTGCACCGTTCAAATGAACTGACGGCAAACTCTGTTAGCTTAGCTGCTAGCTGCAGGAAGCCGGTGGCCTTGGAGTGGACAGATTCTGATGCGGAAGTCGCAACGGTTCAGTTTTTCAATGTCAAATATAAAGTACCAGCTATTAAAAAAGGACATAATTATTATTGTATTACTGTGTAACTCACTGTGCGTTTCGCAGAAGCGCTAAGATGAGATGAGATGTAACTTCAAGAAGCCGGTAGGTTCAATGGACATGACTTCCTGGTGTGTGACGACACGCAGCGTGATTGGCTGACATCCTGGTTGGCATGGTTACAGGTTTTTATTTGACGTTTATTTGTGGGCATCAAGGTTAAGAGAAAAATAATTTAAAACAATTGTAATAAATAGCCCATAACCAGGTTAATATTTAACACACACAAATTATATATAACCAGTAGTAACTTTTACTAAAAATAATGCAATTAACAAATATGCGCCTTTTCTCTTATTTTCTATTCTCTCTTCATGCATTAATTTGTGAATGCAAACACAGGAAAGTCCTTTTTTAACCATTATCCACATTGTTTGAGAAAAAAATGTTGGGCCTCACTGAAATGACGTTAGATTGACAATAAATCATTGAAAAATAATTTGTTTGGACAAATGTCAATAAGCTTTGTGGCAATATCTATTATTTTTCCTCTAAGTCAGTGCCATTGACTGCAATAATCAGAATATCATTACGGCAGGGAAAAAAATTGTATAAAGATTGTTTTACCTTATTTTTATAGTTGTACTTCAGTTTTCTTTCACAATAACTTCTTAGGTTTCCACAATAAAGATTAAGGCATCAGTTACTCAGAATTTCAGCTTTTAAAGTAAAAAAAATAGCGTTTACTTCTTCAACCTTTAAAAAAAAAACTAAAAATAAAGGTTTTATATGTGTAATATTATAACTGGACATTTTCTATGAAAACAAAACAGTAGGACATTAAACTAAAGCACTTTCTTGGTTCGTGTCTATGTTCTGCTGTAAAATAAAAATGATTGCTAAACTTCAGAAATTGGCTTCACTCCCCTCTGTAATATGCCCCAATACGTAATCCATCATCATGATCAGACGGTCATCTGCATTCAAGTTGAATTTTTGGTGCATAAACAGAAAGTCTCTTTTCATCACTGCATTCTTCAGGACATTTTATAGTGGCCATCTTTGAAAAAAGTAGATGCAACACAACTTTGGTCAATTTAATTTTAATCACCATAAAAACAAGGAATCAGGAAAACATGAAGGGGGATTTTTTTTTTCTTATTTGTAATTTTTAGCACTGATAAATGTGCTGAGGTCATCGCTTCACCTTTGGATACAGTAAAAACTAACTTTTTCCTTGTTGTTGCTAAAAGATACAAATTATGCAGTCCAAAATCTTCTCCATTACAAATATCGTTCATCGACACTTCCAGCCCTCAAAGCTCTAAATAGTGTTATTCCAGTGTAAACAATTAAAGCTTATTTTTAAACCCTCAGTGCAAAGTGTAGGCACAGCTGTGCATTCGTCAAGTAATTGTGCAGGAAAGACAAATGTCTCTCTTGGACTGGTGAAATCTAAGGTTTACAAAATGTTAGCTGTCCGTTCAACTCTTTATTTGTCTTTTTCCTCTAGACCACTCTCAGCTCTGAGGGCCTGGCTGCTGGCAGAGATGAAGTTAACCCAGTGCTGCAGATCCTCTGGAAACTCTGGTCTCTCCACCTGCAGGTTGTAACACAACAAACTCACTATCCTTCGGTGGCACTCAGTCCCAAGTAACATACATAAGAGCAGCCGTTTTCTTACCTTCCTTTTGCACAGGTGCTGCAGGATCTTGTCTGGGCTGCTGCGTATCACACTCTGCTTACAGTACATGACAGCGCACACCAAGCCGTCTTTTGTTGACACGAATCTCTGCTCCAGGAAGAAGGCTTTGTCGTCCCACGTTACGATCCGACTGCGCAGCTCGTAACCCTCTCCTATATAGAGGGCCCTGCGGTAACGAATGGTGGTGGCCCCCACAACCATGTTAGCTTTGAGGGCCCGCGTTGCTTTGAAGACGCCGTTACGTGTGTAGAGAGAGAAGCGGGCGAAGTCGCACTCCCGCAGGTATCGGGCATTGTTCATGTGGCACATGTCGATGTCCCGTGGGGAGACCCGGCCTGACAGGACCTGCTCCGCTGTGACGTCCCAGACTGGAGGCTGAAACCAGGCCCGCAAGATCTCTGCGGCCGCCCGCACGAAGTACCACACATCCACGATGCAGAAGAGAGCCAGCAAGGTGGCGAGAACCCACAGCACCCACCACATGTCTGTAAAACAGGGGCACAAAAAATTAATTAGATTTGTTACTGACATTAAGGAGCTCAGTTTGGTTCCAACAAATCAACAAAACAAGACCATTAACTGATCCTTCATATTAAAAGTGATAAAAAAAAGCTAATTTTTTCATTCATTCAACCTTTATTTAGACAGGTAAATCCCATTGAGCCTCGAGGACTCATTTACAAGAGAGACCTGATTTCAACAAAGAATGATGACAACAATGGACAGTTAGAGCTTAAAAGAGAGATGTGAGTCGACCAAGATACCCAAATATTTATGGGAATCAACAAACTCAATGGGGACACCATTTGAGGATGATATCAGAGGAAGAACTGCTGGGACCAACTTCCTATTTGAAAAAAGCATTCCTTTGGTTTTGTCGGCATTTAGGACAAGTTTGAGGTGGAACAAATCAGACTGGATGATGCTGAATTCAGATTTTAAAAGCTGGAAAGCCTTTTCAACTGTTTTAGCTTGACAAACAACTGTGTCATCAGCATAGAAATTAATAATAAATGTTTTACTTTATATTAAAAGTGTAGATAATGATATATGTTCATCTACAACAGTGATTAAAAAAAAGCTAAACGTTTTGACTTTTTTTTTTTTTTTACCTCCAGCACATTTTTCTGCTCTCTGTACCATCAAATTTCATTTTTTTAATGTAGCTGTTAAAGTAAAGGCAGGCTGTGGTGTTTTGTTGCACAGCAGGTGACACTGTGGTGCACAAAACATAAAAAACCATTGACTTCTTTAAACTTTGCTTCCAAGATGACTTTTAAATATTTTGGAGTGGTCTTAATCAACAGTTCTGAATGCGTTCAAACTTTTTCTTGGGACACTGGTTGCTTCATAATTTCCAGTCCAGTTCTTGATCGTGACAGCCCATTATGCAGTGCATACGTAATAAAATTAGGAAAGTGGTTCATTGGAAGGCAAAAGAAGTGTCAGGTCTGAAAAAAATCCACCTGCAGCAGATGAACAATATCTGAAAGTCATGTCTTTGTTACGTGGAGGAAAAAATATTTAAAAAAAAAAAGAACTGCCAGAACCTTTGGATCGTCCATCTGCTGCAGTGGTCCACAAACTTGGTCCTCAGGGCCCACCGTCCTGCACGCTTTACATGTTTCTGTCCTCATTCACGTTTATTCATTCACTGAATAAGAACAAGTGCCATAAGTTTTCTAGCAGTTAATATCCTGCTCATTTAAAATCAGGTGGCTTAATCCAGGAAAACATAAAACAAGCACAATAGTTTTGTTTGTAGAACTGTGTTACCTTTGACTTTCTTCATAGCTCATCTAAGATGGAAACGGAATATATTTTTTGTGACAGGCTGCTGGTAACAAAATGCCTAAAGATTCAACTTAAATTGGTACTTTGCTTAACTGGCTCTTACAACACTGGTTCATTCCTTGAGTTTGTACGACTGAAAACTGTTTTTTTTTTAATTTAAATAAAATAAAAATTTAAAAGCTCTTCTTAAAGCCCAAAGAACTACTGATCAAGAAAAAAATAGGTCTGTCTCAAATTGATGTACGTAGAAATTATATTCGAATTAAGATTTTTGCACACGAGCTTGAAGTATTTCTAGAAATCATCCACAAACCATGTTTTTATTGGCATTGCTGAACTTTACTATTTTGTTTACTCCAACTTGACACACTCTTTAGTTTGACAGGAACTTGTTTGTGTGACGTGTAAACTTTCACAGGTATTACTCTGATTTGCAAAACTCTAGGTGTGTCATAACCCTGAGTGATGATAAAATTACTTAAAATTACAAACTACATCCACTTCAGTCAAAACATGGGCATGCCCCGACTTTATCTGTATAAAACTTGTTTAAACATTTGTGATGGTAACAAATAACTGTGTAATGTCAAACAGTCTCTTTTAAAATATTTTTCAAACTCCTGCTAATTGCAGTATACAAGAACAATTTATTACATGTGAGGGTGTTGGCTCCTTGCCTTCATTTTGGAAAAGTTACCCTAAAACCACGGAGTCTGTGAATTTTTCAACTTTCCATAAAACCAGAAAGTGCAGAACAGGTTTTGCAAGAAAGTCAGGCCAACTCTGAAAATGTCTTCCAAGCACAGGTGGGCATGAAGATATATATATATATATATATATAAATAAAATAATAATAACTAAGGTCATTGTCTTTTTAATCAAAATTTAAGTAGACCCTTATACTAGCTGTAACATTAAAAACGTCTGTAAACGCAGACTACGTGGTCCAAAGGCACAATCTATTCTTATGCACCTTCGCTGAAATAGTTTACGAGAATTTACCGATATCTTTAAATGCAAATGAACGTTTTCAGTGACATAAATTAACGCAGTCCATTCACAGCGAACATAAAGTCAAAACACTCCAACTAATCGAACTTCTTGGCCATATTCCCACTCACCTTTCTTCGGCGACGTTTGTCAGATTTGCAGAGTCGGCAGCCTACTTCCTATACTTCCGGTGAAGGCTTTCAAAGTAAAAGCGTTCCAATGTAAACGCGCTCCAGCTTAGGTTTAATATAAAAAGGTAAAGCGAGTTTTAATCAGACTTTCTTTTTGTGAAAGATCGTAAACCAAATTAGTACTATATCAGCACCTTAACAAGAAGCTTGTTTCCCTTTTTGTTTCTACCAACGTTTAGTTTGACGGTAAGATTTTTACTTCCGGTAACTCGGGTAAAGCGCACCGATTGGTTAAGATGCGCAGTAAAAATAACTTTTTGACTGTCAGTAAACCTTCTAGAACATTCAATTATTCTTAATTTCAACTACTTTTAGTATGTTTGTTTATATTGATTCACAAAGTTTCTTAGTGGAGTGGAATTTATCCAACATTTAAGTTTGAACAAGCCTTTTAAGTTACTAATGTTGGGCATGGAAGGTCAAATGCTATGCTTTAAAAGAAAAGTATAATGCCAGTAAAACAATGAACTGTATTTAAATAAAGAAGTTTAAATTAGATTTCACCATCACAGACTGAATTGGAAGTCTTTCTTTATTACTGAATGCATTTAATCTTCATATTGCTGAATTCATGTTATTTTTTTTTTCATTTAGCCTTTATTTATCCAGGTTAGTCTCATTGAGCCACGAGAACTCATTTTCAAGAGAGACCTGTTTAGGGAGCACATGGAGCACATTTTAATCGATCGGTTCACTACCGGTACTTGCATTAAATACTCCCAAAATAAACAATGGATATTTGTATGTGGATACAAAAAAAGCCCCCAAAATAAACCCGAGAATGATAGTTCAGCCAATGTTTTTTTTTTTTCCCTTCAAACTTTATTTTGAAATAACAAGCATGAAAATGTAGTGACATTCAACTGTTTAAATTCTAACTATTAAAAATAAGGGGGGGAAAAAAAAGTAAAATGTTCAATGTTTATCACAATGTATAACAAGAAAATCAACAGTATGAGGTAAAAAAAAAAAGCAAGTGAAAACACGTGAAAAAAACCCAACGGTAATTTAGCCACAATTTTTGTCGCCTTTCAAAATTTATTCTGAAATAAGCGTGACAATGTAGTTCCATAACTACAAGTGACATTCAACCATTTAAATTCTAACTACTGTACTTAAAAACAAGAAATTTTGTTTTTAAAAAGTAAAATGTTCAATGTTTATCACAATGTATAAGAAAATCAACAGTATGATGTAAAAAGGCACGTTAAAAACGTGTGAAAAATGTAAAAAAACAAGTACAGTAGCTCAGCCACAATCTTTGTCGCTATTCTAATTTTAGTTTGAAATAAGTGTGACAATGTAAAGTCCCATAACCACAGGTGACATTCAAAAGTTTAAATTCTAACTACTGTACTTAAAAACAACTTTAAAAAGTAAAATGTCCAACATGTTTATCACAATGTAGAACAAGAAAATCAACAGCATGATGTAAAGGCGCATAAAAACCCGTTTTCAAACGTTACAACACAAGAAATAAAACTTTTATAGCCAACTTCTTCAGGGTTAGTCAGACATTTATGCTACAAATTAGTAAAACTACTTTCATCAAACGCTCTCCTAAAAGGAGGTATGGAAGCTAAATCAACGTTTCTGTCCACAGATTCACTGAATTTGCTGGGATCGAAAACCCATGACCATTTTCTTCATGTCCTTGTCAGATATTATGTCACTCATTTCAAGTGCGTGCCCTGGACCAGCCATTGGGTCATGTTTGTGTCTGAAAAACACAAAGTCGAGGTTTACACAATGCACTAGTAACACGCACGACAATGATCAGCTGCTGTGACGTACTGTCTGAGGTATGCTTCGATGGCCTTGCGCTCATACACGGTGCCATACACTGTTCTCACAGGATCAACAAACATCATCTTGGTCAGAGGACACAGCAGATGGCCGGGTATAAACTGTGACTGAGGACCCATCAGGTTCTTAAAAAGAAACAAGAGTAAGAAACGTAAATGATTATGTAAAAGTAAATAAAACTAACCAGCACCTTACACAAACGCTGTACGGCTTCTTACTCACCTTCATCATGTCCTCCAGAGACTTCCCAGCATGTTGCTCAGTGTGTTTTTTGGCTTCTTGCTCGTACGTCTCACGACTCATCAAGAACTCCTCAGCCAAAATGCTTTCAAAACACAGATAAACAAAACCATTAAATATTCCTAATTTTTAATTGGAAATTAATGCTCATTAACGGTTAACAACATTTTCCATCAAGTTCAAAGAGTCACTACCAGTATCATCATCGTCCCACCTGTCCAGTGGATCTTCCGGCTCAGGGAACATGAGCAGCCCGTACACAGCATCAAAGATCTCCCTCACTGTGATGTGTGCGTTGTAGTTGCGGTCAAACACATTGTGGCAGATGCGGCCTACACTGTTGACGTTGCAGTGATACACCCGTCATCCCGTTAAGAAATACTTACAACACATGATCTATAAAATGATTTTGTTTTGACTAAATCCTAAATTAAAATGAACTTATGGGCATGGAATGGAATA